CGTGATAAGATAGAATGAAACAAGAAGAACGGTTAATCACCAGGGGGGTAATGTTTTTATAATTCCCGTAACGTAGTTTCCCGAGTTCTTCATACGCGCGAACCAACGTGTCTCTTTCCGCAGGTTGGCTTACGAAAGAAGGAGGCATTGTGCACTTCACACGTGCTGGTGGGAACCAGCGTCGCGCGAGTGTTCCTAATCTTGTTCCTAATTAGAAGATATAAATAAAAAATGAGCTTTAACTCTCGCTATCCTATTTTATCTAGCATATATCATATTCATAACTTTTCTCATTCTCGTTCTTATTACTCTTAAATTAGGTCGTTTCTTGCTGCTTGTTTTTTTTTTTTTTCTTTAAATGCTTATCGCGCTATCGTTTACAGAAGCGATGTGTAAACGTGTATGATGCAATTATGCGCGACTATTCGCAACGTACCGCGAGCTCGGGCCCACGAGTTCGCTAAGCCCACAAATGACTGAAGTGAAGTCATCAAATGACTCGTCGCGGGGGAGTCTCTATCCGAGTGAGAAACGCCGGCGGGATTCTGTCTCGAGGATGCTGCGCGAGATCACACGGGACCGATAACATTGTTTCCCTTCGTTCGGCATTTTATTCGCGCTGGCCCACGGCCTTATTACACGCACGGTGCATCGATGGTGCATTAGCATAAGAACCTCGCAAAGCCGCCCGCGCGCTATCGAACCTGGCCGGTCCTCGCGAAATCCTCTCGGCATCTCCGCACATGAGAGGATGCGAAGAGGATTAAGCTTCTGGCCATTTTCTGGCCCCGTGCACCAGGCTTCCGCTAAATTTCCAACTGTACTCCTTCCTCATCGATAATCGGCCCGAAACCGCCCCCGGAAGTTCAGCATATTGCATACCTTTCTCTGAAAATCTGATAGATGCAATCGAAGATGCAAAATATATACGTCAGAAAGATGTAATAGATATATGTATATGAAACATGTTAATTCTGCAAGTACATCAACGTTGTTAAGACAGAATCAAGATTTTTTTACGATCTTTCCCAAGTTCCTTTCCCAAGATTTAAAAATAGCTAACAATGGAGAACAGCTGATTTTAATTGAAGCATTTCAAAAATATATTCAAAATTTAGCAAATTAGATATTTGTTTAAAAAAGTATCCAGTATTGTTTCTGCATTAAAACAAATTGCATAATTCACGATGAAGTGATATAGATATTGTGAGTGGCGAAAAGTAGATATGTCTTTCGCATCGCGTTTTAGCAAAGGAACTTCTTAAAAAGTTAAAAATAAACTATGGCACTTAGGAAATGTGGCTTATGAATATGATGATTTCTCTACCGGATCTCAAACGCGACTGATTACGCCTCTTTGCATTTTATAATCTATCCAATTATATGCACATTCTATATGCACGTTAAAATATTAATAATATTGCGGTTAATTATTGTTAACAATATTTTCTTTTCGTAGGCAAGGATAATGACTCGGTGGTTCTGGTGTCTACTGTGCGTGATTTTACACCTGCGGGACGTCCATTCTAAAGTCGGTAAGTAATCGCCGCAATTAATATTTCTCATTTTTCGTATTTCGAAAAGATCCTCCAATAACGTAAATAAAAAATGGTCTCTGACAACTTTTTTGCAAAGACGTCGACGTCGAAGAATCATTCCCTCGGTCGGTGGGGGAGCGAGTGGAATGAAACGAAGTAACGACTCACGCGTAAAAGTCAATCATCGGCCGGACCATGTGGCTTCCCACACGCGTAAATCTATTTCAGCTGATTGCCAATTACTTATGTCACGCTTGATGGTGCAAGCTCTGTTTTATCGTTGTCGTCGGGCATAAAACGCGCCCGCGTACTGACGGCACGTGCGGAGGTGTGAGCTCTACCCCGACGGCTCTCACCGACGTCGCCACCACCACGTCGAGCTCATTTTACATCGCGCGTTACATCGACACGTCGAATCGCGAGCGCATTATTCATACCTCTCGGTACCCCGCGTCTGACTTACCGCCATTACGTAATTAAGCTTTAATCATCCGCGCGTCTCGCAAATACTCGTCGCAATTCTTCTTTTTTTTTTTGTCGCGCGCAAAGCGCTCTTTATTTCTCGTTTGTTTTCATCATCGTTAAACGAAGGAGGAATATTAAATGCGAGCTTCACGGAGATTTATGAGGAATCGATAAACTCGATGTATACCACGACGACGAACGCAACGAACGGCTACATACACGCGGATAGAGAGAAGGTATTCGCGAGAGAGGATGGTGTGTAGACGGCTTTACCCGGGATGAAACGTACATTCCAACGCCATAATTCGCGTTGCCTGTGGACGAGAGATACAGGCGCGGTTCTCCTGGCGTTTTAAAGCGATGGCCTAACGCGAGACGGAGAATCATGATTCATCGCGAACCGAAGATGTTATTTTACGCGTGATATTCGTCTGGTAACACAAAGCATACCTGCTAATTGGCGAAAGATTGCTTCCTGGATACTATCTTGCGCGAAATTTATTTATTTGGACAATCCGCTTTTTTTTAACCGTATTCATTATATTTTCTGCGTAAAATATATGGCCATGTAGCCATACATTAAATATTAATTTATTTTACACGTTGTATTTTAATATTTTTTTATATTTTTATATCAATGCAAATTTTACAAAATTATTCTCACGGATAATCGCGTAATAAAATTTTCAATTTTAGTTTGTTCATTACAGATGGTTCCCTTTTACGTAAGACGGGACGACACGTGTGACTTTACGGAAGGCCAGATGGTGCGAAATTTTTTTCTGATATGAGCGCGCACACTCCAATTGAATACAATTCTTTTATAATGAATTTGGCGTTGAAAAGAAAGAAAAAATTCCCGACACCGGGGCACCGCCTGTAACTTTCAGTATCGATTCCCACGATATCGAGCTTGATCACGTACATACGGGCTGCTTTATAGCCAAGTGTCGTTTTAATGGCACGCTGCCAGATTCCAAGGTACTTTCATGCCAACGCGTATTACGTTATGCGCTCGTGATTTAAACGATTATCCGTAAGAGTTTTGACCGAAACGGCAAATATAATTAAAATCCACCTGGAGAATCGATAGAGAGGAAAGCGCCGCTGATGAATTATGTGAGATCACGAACCGCGGCACGAGTGTTCTTTCGACGATAGGAGCATAGGTCAATGGGTCACTTAACACCTTTGTAGACTAGCTCGAATACATTGTTTATGCGCAGATGGGAAATACAGGTCGCGATAGACACGATGTGGATGTGTCGCTTGTTCTCGCAATATCCACTTTCTAATGCCGCGATCACTTTCTATGCGGGGAAAATGATCGGGTTTCGCCGGTAGTGGCCCGCTGTCACGAAAGATTTACGTGGAGAACTTTATGAAGGCTCGGCGGGGAATGTTGCGCGTGACCGGTCGGACGATGACGAATGTCCGTGTGGAAATTGCGCGATTTCGCAATGTGACGAACGGTGAATACGTGAGGATACATGAGACAGCGAAGGGATCGTGCGATCTGTATCATCCGTTGGAATTTTAAATTTTTGTCGACCAAGTATTACATCTACTCTCTGTAAATTATTGTTAATTGATTATTATTTTTATAAAAAAGAAAGAAATTAAGTAAATGGAAGCAAATTCAATCGCTGTCAAAAATATAGTAACGTGTTTAAGTTGGAGTTTTATTCGGTAAAAATAAAGTCATCTGTATTAGATAAAAGTAAATCCATCCTAATCGGTGATCGCTTCTTTTTGACTTTTTACTTCTGATTTGACTTATTACTTTTATTAATATTATATATATGATCGAACTGTTTATGTATTCAATGATATATCAATCGAAATACATGTAATGACAAAATTATTTATAATTATTATATCAGATACATAATTGAAATTGATACATGGTAAATACTGGTTATTTATACAGTAAATGAATTAATTAATTTATTAACTCTATATATATATATATATATATATATATATATTAACTATACAAGCTTATTAAGAGCTAAATAACGCGAGCAACTACAATCCAAAATCAATTATTCAATATCAAATTAACACAAAATCGAGACCATAATAGATTATCCTGTTTTATGATTTCTGAAACAAAAGAATTGCGAAAGAATTATAACACAATAAAAAAATAATTTAATTTACTTTCAGCTAATTATAATTTAATTCATTACGGTGCCGTATTACAGTATTACAAAGAAATTGTTGTAATACCATAATATGATAACTCTTTCGTTTAATTTAACTACCGTAACGAAGATATTAAGTTGAGAAAGAGTGAATAGGGAATTATCACGTTACGCTGCAAATCGTCTTGTACATAATGCATTCACACACTTGGCGGTAATGGCGTGTATATTCTTCGTATTCGTTAACGTGCATTAACGTTAACGTAATCCAATTAATTTATCCCATTTGCAAAACCGCCACAAAAATTAGTCATTGACTGATCTCTTTCGTAACAGCTGGCATACGTCTCTAGAATCTTCCTTTTTAATGCAAATGTTTTACACGTCACCGTTTCCGGTCATGCAGATTTCTCGCACCTGTCCGAAAGAGCCATCGTCTTGATGAGTTTCGAGAATTAATGAAATTGCTCTCGGTAGAATATCATAAAATAACAACAAGCAAAAACAAAGGTGACTTTATCTCCGAGTGGTCTAATTTTAGTCGTTGAAAGCTATTTTTTAGTAAAATATTTTCTTGTAAAATTTGATCGTATCAGTTTGGGAATTTATAAAGAACTTCACTTTCCGGATTTTTGGCGGTTTCCTTTTCTTGCTACGTCTCTTGATATAAATTTAATATAATTTTTATACATTTTGTATTTCAGGTTTATGCGAAGTGGAATCGGGACAGTCGAATATTATTCTTGATATCGAAGAGAGCAGAGGAAATGGTAAATGCGACACGTTCAATTATTTTAATGTACTATACACTAATTGTTTCTATTATAACTGAATTCATACATTCTTTTTTAAAAGAATTGATTTTTAAGCAATTTAAGCATACAAATTTAATTTTATCAGAATTAAAAGCATAAAAACAATTGCGTTACAAATTTTTTGGTCTCGCTATTTTTTACATTTCTTTACTATTATTGTGTTATTTGATTTAACAACATAAATGACAAATAAATATAAAGAATAAAATTGGATTAAATTCAAATTTTATCTATAGATTTATTGCATATATATTAATTCAAATTTTTTCTAAAAAATAACGCAATTAATATTTCTGTTGCTTCTGACGTTTTTGTGTAAATAAATGTAAAATATGAAAACATATTAAAATTTGTAGAGACAAATTTAATTCAATCGGGGAACTCCGAGATTCAAAGTTGTAAAAAGCGGCGTGTTGAATTGATTTCAAAGGACGCCATCTGACAGTATAGTAATAGAAAACTTAATTAATTTTCGTCAAAGAAAAGTAATTATAACAGAAAATGATGACGAAAATTAGAGAAAAGGAATATTCGAGAAATAGAACAGTCAATAGTTATGATTAAACTGTATTGGCTTTCATTAATGAGATATTGCCTGAGATCGACATTAGTTTGCCGAGATATCGTCCATTATAAAATGGAGACGAAGTATTCTTCGCTTGAAAAATCAAGTCGTATTATTAAAGGAAATAAAACAATTTCTTTGAAATCTATTCATATCGTCCATAACATTTCATAACGCTCAGTTTATCGATAATTCTTTTTGTACTTTTTGTGACAGAATATATTAATATATTAATTACAAATCTTAATTTCTGCTTTCCTTGGTAATTTTATTTTATTAATAGTTTAGAAATATCGTGATTCTCCCCATCGTCATAAAACGTTTCATTGTTTGCTTTGACATCTCAAACAAATGATCGAGAATATATTGCTGAGCTGGTGTTTCGTATATTTCCAGTTTATTGAAAATTCCATTTATGCTGTCCCAGATATAAGATAAATCGATGTGCACGACGGTAATCGCTTTCGTTGGCTATCCTTTTTCAGCGATCGATCAGAAAACCGTGCCGGAAGAGCTTCCGGTGTCCGGTGACCCTTATAATGAGACTATGCTGGAACTTATCTTCCCTGGAAGGAAAATCCCCCTTTTTAAACTAAATGGCAAGAAGCTGCAGCTTCTCGAGCCATTGGATAGAGATGATGAAAATCTCTCGCATGTGGTTTTCCAGGTAAGAAATCTTAATCTCAATTATAAATCTTAATTATAGGACCTGTCTAATTTATTTTATTTGCAAAAAAGAAAAAGATTTGCCGTAACGGATTGCTGTTGCGATTTAATGAAGTTCAAAAGTAGAACAGATATAAATTAAAAAATTATTATTCTAACGATAAGTTACATGCGTATTTTCTTAGATTCCTATCTTTGAAGATTGAAATCATTCGTAGCATTTAGGTTTAATAAATAAAATAATTTCTTTAAAGTTTATTCATGTCATTATATTTCACAACACTAGTTTGATAATTTTTTTGTACTTTTTGTGAGAATATATTAATATATTTTATTTACAAATCTTAATTCCTACTTTCTTGGATAACCTTATTTTATTGGTAGTTTAGAAATTGCAGTTTTCCATCGTCATAAAACGTTTCATTATTCCTCACACTTATGCTTGAGGTAACTTATTTGTGCATATGTAAAATGATGTTTTTCATGATTTTATTTGCATGTATGTTTTTTTGCGAGTGAAATTGTCTTCAAATTTGCATCTAAAGAATTGGACATATGTGCGAATATCAAACATTTTCAAACAGTGATTAATCTGTACACATTCTTCTTTTTTACATATCCATCTGAGAAAGTTTAACGAGCGACGCAACGTGAACTATGAAATATCATTTAACTACTTTCTATCGATAAAGTCATTTGGGAACCATCGCAAGACAAATTGCTAGATTGAAAATTATTGCCAAGGGGAATCTGAATAATAAATAAAGATGTGCGGAGAGAAACTCGTTATGCGTAAAAATTTCAGTCCTCCGCGTCTCATTTGCTTTCTGATTATCCGCGACAAAAGGTTTCATCAAAACCTTCATTTCTCCATTCGTTTTTGTTTGAAGTCAGAATTTTCATCCTCGTTTGATCAGAATTTTCGTCCTCGATATCATTATTTAGATATCGCAAAAAAATGTATGGAAATGTCGGATAAATGGAATATCATTATTGAAACTCTCAAATAAACATATAATAATAATAATATAATATATAATATATAATAAAGTATATAAGTAATAATATATATTAATAATAAAAGAATAATGAAAATAAAAATAAAATAAAAATAGAAACATCTAACCGAATAAGATCTATCATTATTATTGTTATTTTTTTAAAGTCAACTACAAAACTGGAAGACAAGTGATAATAGTTTTCACTAGCAAAGTGTTAATATTTCTTGAATTATAAATTTCACGGTTGCAATAAAAAAAATGTTACTGTTCGGTTCCTTTCAAGTGAATCTTTTTTTGCACTGACCGTTAAACGTTTAAACGTCTAATTTACCTCGAGTATCTAGCGCTTTTAAAACTATGTCATTGCTTTTTCTCCGCAAGAAGCTTTTTCTGCTTCTCGGAAGAGAATCTCTTGTCTGTCTGTAAAATATTTTATTATTTTCTTCGTCGTCAACGAGCTGCAAACTCACCGTAAAAGCGGAAGTTGGCGGCTCGTCGAGAATACTTGAAGGAAGTTACAAAATCCACAACAGCTTTCTCATCAGTTGTTCATCATACGGTACTTAATGTAGGTTTTATTCAGAAGATTTAATTTAAAAAATAATAACTTTATTTCTAAAAGAATTAAGATAATTTTTACAAAACGCTTTCTTTTATAATTAATAGTACATCGCATATATAAAAAAAACATTTTTGTTTTTTTAGAAAAAGAAGAGGCAATTGATTATTTTTTAAAATAAACACTTGCATTAAATTATAGACATCATTTATTAATTTATATAGCTCTTATATAAAATTATATAAAATTAATTTATTTATTGATCATTGTGCTCACAATACGAAGACGCCGTTCCCTCCAACTCGTTCAGCATTCGCGAAATGCACATTGTGTCTTATGACACTCATCATGTGAGGAATGTGAAAGGTCTAGAGTACTACATCGAACATTTCAAGAGCCCATACCGATCAAACGAGTGGATAAGATTTAACGAAACAAACACAGATAGAACTGGAGATAAATTCAATTCAAACAGGAATGCAGCGAGCGCTTCGATTAATTCATGGAAATCTATATACGAATCGTAATTACATCGATCGAAATGAATTAATATGAGATCAATTAATTATTGCTTTACTCGCTTAAAGGATACCGGTTGCTTCAGGAATAATTTTTTACACCTTTAAGTTAAATATTGATATTTGACATTAAAAATTATCTTTAAAAGCGATTTGTAGAAATTTAATATAATAATACAATAATTCTCTTAGTCGATCGTAGCGCACAGCAATTTTTGTTAATTAATGTATTCTTTTAATCAAATTAATATATTTTTATTAATGACCTTTTCTTAATGACAGTTAAGCGATGAAAACGTAATTAAATTTTTATGTTTCACTTTCTCATATAAATATTTGTTCTTTTTTTTCAGTTGAGCTGCACGGTAAAGTCGACTAATAAGAAACGGACTATCCCGGTAATTGTGAGAGTGTCTGACATCAACGATAACGCGCCGAAATTCATTAACACGCCGTATGAGACCACTGTGCCAGAGGTAAGAGCCTAATGGAGCTTCCTACCCGTAAAGGAAGCTGGTTTTTGTTTCCATCTCGTAATCGAATATCCGTAATTACCTCTGCGCGACGCGATAAGATATATTAATATATTAATATCGCTCGATCATCTCTCTGGTAAACGGCTTTCGATCGACAGTTTCTTCTGTCGACGCCTTCGCATTCATAGTAAAAGGAAATCCCCGAGGGGAGAGGGGGAGTGGGTGGAAAATGCGTTCTGTGTCGAGAGAGAATGACAGGACGCGAAGCGTGAAAACACGCTAATTCACGGTGCGCGCCGTTCGCGCTGGAGTAAATTTAAACCTATAATGAGTCGCGCCACGCGCAGCTGGAAATTTAAACTTATAATGGGCTACGCGTAGCATAATTATGCGTCTAAATATGATGGCGGGATAAAAGGACTGCAGTTAACGCCGCGCGAAAGTTGGATAATTATATTCCGGTGAGATGAGTGCGTTAATTGACGAGAACCGCGTAGGAAAATCGTGGCGAGTGTTTTGCCATTAGAAATTTTAGGATTACACGCTGAAAACTAGCGTAGTTTACGAGATGTGAGTTTACGAGTTAAATAAAATTGCCTCACGCGACGTTCATTTTCCATCGCATCGTCGGATGCCGTCGTCGGCTCTTCGCCTCGCGAGTTGTGTCGCGACTTTCGTCGAGGCGTACGTTTTTCACGCGTGACGGAACTTTTTACGGAAATTAAAAGTGTGTCGAATGCGAGTCATCGGCGCGAGTGTGGAAGTCCTATTATCCCGCTCTATCTATCGTCGAGTCCGCGCGCGTCTTCGAAGAAAGTAGATTCGTCACGTCGCTAAGTGGACGGGAACTATTCTGAATGTACTATGCTGGAACATCGACGGTCGTTGACGGTCGATCAGGGCCACGAACATCGCGACCGTCTTTTCCTTCTTTTCCTCCTTTTGCATTTGCGATCCGTTATGCTGGGAATGACACGAGTATTGGTGCTGGCCATCTCTCCTGGCGTATTGAATAGATTTAAAAGGATAATTGAATGCAAAAGGAATGTCTCCCGCGAAGTTTTCGAAAAATTTAATCTTCGCGCAGCTTTTTCACTTTTTCCCCGATTTTCACATTTGATTATATGAAATTTAAACATAATTAAATAATTAATAATTATATGTAGAAATTAAATAATTATTATTATTCGAGGTCTATTTTGAAAAATTTAGTTGAAGGAAAGAATAACTTTGCAAAGATAATATTACATGGAAATAATAGTTTTGTTGAAGTATTTAAAAATTTGGCTGGATACAAATCTGAAAATAATTTTGTTTAGCCATCAAAATAATTATTTAGGACGTTTCAATTGATTACTGAAATATCAAAAATTTTTGCAACGTTATCATCATGTTTAAGCGTCTCCCATAATAATTTTGATGGCCCAACAAATTTATTTTCAGATTTATATCTGGCCAAACTTTTAGATACTTTAAAGAAATAATTTCTTCCGTGTGGCTTCGAATTATCGCCTAATTAATGGAGCTCTTACGTTAGTTCAGATCGTGGAAACTGGCAAAATGTACTCAGCGAGAGTGTAACCTTTGCTCCATCTGCCATGCATAATTGCGAAATCGCGGGAGTTTCTCGGGAGATCTAGATCGAGATCGTAGGCTCGAGCTTGAGCTAATTAATCCGAGCTGCGAGCAACCGGTACCGTCGTAGCAACCGCGTGAACAAGCGAGAACAAGCGGTGATAATCGCTCTCTCAAGATAACAAAATGACTACAAGCGCCGGAAACGGTCCACCTTCGCTTTCTTTAGCGTTATCAAAAACCTCGTGGAAATTAGCTACGTTATTCCGTAAGTAAATGAGGAAAGGCGACGAGACTTCCTCGCCGTCATAGTCGTGGCTAATGACCAAGATTATTCTGCTTGAACTGTTTCCGTGGGAATGCCATTAACATTGACTTATTTTTTCATTCTCAGGACATGCTAATTAACTTTCCAAGTACGTGAATATATATATATATATATATATATATATATATATATTCACGTACCGTCCGCCATCGTCATTCATGTTGTACTGCAAAAGTTAATGCAAAAATGTCGGTCCGTCTCTTCGAAATGTGTATGAGAGAAAACCGGTCTTATTTTTAATGGGCGAGGATACATTTTGTACGCACTTTATACAGCCGTTCTACTTCGAGCGCAGTATTTCGAAGGAGGTTCCTGATCCCGTTAGATAAGCGAAGATGCGGCGAGATGTCGGCGCGGAGGCAACCTGCAGGAGGAGCCGATCACGCGCCGTGAACAAGAATATACGTTCCGACCGCGCCGCACGGTAGTCGTCGACTTATCTCCTCGGATTAATCGGAAACGCGCGTGGCTTTCGCCGGCGCAAAAAGCCGTTGAATTATTTTCGCGTAATCCCCAATGAGGTCTCGCCCCGCAGTTCGTAGATTCCTCGCGCGTAGCAGTGTTCCGCGCGGACAACCTGCCCGGCCTGTTCGGATTCTCGGTTCGCGGTCGAATTATTAATCCCGACGACCGGGGCTCACGTTTGACCCCGTCGGCCTTCAATTAACCAGCATCCCCCTGAAGCGGCGTAAAGCACGCCGCATAAATTTAACCCCGCTCGATTCCGCGAGAGAGCCGCGGCGGAATATATATCGCCCCGCGATTTCTCATCGCAGCTGGAAGCTCGGAAGGAAAGCGATTTCCATCTTTGCGTCTTTCCATCTTTCCTCCTTGTGAGGAACATGGACAAATTACATTATAAAAAATATTCTGTTTTTCATTGTTTTGAACCGGACAAAGCGGTTTTTTTATAAACTTTTTTTTGGATGCTGCAAGTCAAATTTTTTTATGTCAGGTTTTTAAAATTAGATTTTTAATTGAGATTTAATATGTAAAAAAATGGCTTCTTTGTGATATTTTTTATAAGATTTTTTATAAAGAAAGTTCTGATCTCTTGAAATTCTGACTAGAAGTTATGAAGTTATTTTTCTATACTTTATAAAGTGCATTTTTTTTTATTTTGATCTTATCTTTTAGATATGTTATGAAAAATTTTCATACAAAATTTTGTTAAAATGTAGCACAGACTTTTATTATCTTAGTAAAACTCTGTATTAAAATTCATAACATGGCTAAAAGCTAAGGTTCAAACGATACTGAGAATACAAAAAGAAAAAATGCATTTTATAAGAAATAAACAATACATTCATAACTTCTAATCAGAATTTTCAGATATTAGTAATTTTCTTTATAAAAAATGTTCAAATATAACAAAAAACAAAAATTTGCTGCACATTAAATCTTAATTATTTTGAAAATCTGATGTGAAAAAATCTGCTAAAGAAATTTAATTTGCGGCCTTATTTTCATCTGAAAATCTATAAGAATCATGGGTTTGATTTAAAATAATTTTTTGCTAAATATACTAATATTATTATACCATTATAAAAATACTGCATAATGTTATCAAAAATAATTTCGTTATGTTCGTTCGTTTCGTTTGCAGCTCACTCCGGTCGGCTCGACGATCTTCAAGAATGTCGATGCGATCGACGCGGATGCCGGCGTCAACGGCATCGTCGAATATTCGATCGCACCCGGGGATGGCAGCAGAATTGGCAGCAACGAGGGTGTCGGACGCAACAGAATCACCACCGTCGACGGGTACGGTTACTTTAGCATCAACCTGCCGCATCAGGGACAGGTCACAGTTAATCGAACGCTCGACTACGAAAGGACTCAACGTTATCTCGTCACTATCTTGGCATCGGTGAGTTTTGACCTTGTGCTAATCACGCTAATTGATTGCAGCTGTCGGAATTGCGAGCGAGTTAGACCGGGAGATTGACGTTGATGTAGATGCTTGATGCAGATAAAGATATAGATCTATTCAAGCTTAATTAATGCAACGGTTCTAAGGCCTCCAGAGAGAAACATGATCGGCAGCTTCCTAAATAACGTTACTTTACATGAAATAAAGCAGTAAAAAAATTGGATAATTGCCGTGGTGTAGGAATGTTTGCCGTGGTAGGAATGTTTGCATGTAGAAACAGTATTATAATTGCAGATAAGTATTTGAGATTTGTCTTTTTAGAATAAATGTATCTCATTTCTATGAGAAAAGTACAAATTTTATTTCATTTAGAAAGTTTTCCAGTCTGGCAACTTAATTTTTACATTGCTTGGTCAGTCGATATTTGCGTACCTTGTAATCTACTGGTCGTGTTATCGTACGTATACCGTTACGATACCTGTCCAGTATGATAATCGAGCATAATGAGCGGTCAGCGATATTTTGCGATTACGCTACGCGACATCGAGAAACCCGTACAATAAAGAAAATTTTATATAGAAAATTCTTACACGAATAACGAGGAACTAACGGTAATCGTTTAACAACGTGCACGCTTAGCAAATTATTATGTCGTCTTTTGAGAGTTAGATTTTTTTGAGAGTTAGTCAGATTCAGTTTGAGAAACATTGACGAATGGAATAACAATTTTTCGTAAGGAATGATAAAGAGAAATTTGATAAAAATAAATCTTATAATTTTTTTACAATTTTTAATAAAATTGCATTTTTATCGTTACTAAAATTTTACTAATTTTACAAGCAAAAAATTTTGTAAATATGTTCTCTATATGATAAGATCCTAATAATTTGAATTAAATTTTTATTTACAGGACAACTAATTTTTGCATCGCATTGAAACTTTACGTAAATTATCTTGAATATTTAAAATAGTAGACAAAAGTTGAGATTTTTGTCATTATTTTTTAATTACATTTCCATTAGAAAACACTTCTACTTATTTATTTAAATAACTTTTTATCTTCCAAATTGCTGCTAAACCTTTTTATATTACTTTTAAATGCCATTTAAAATTACCTGTCTTTTTTCATAACTTTTTGTAAATATAAAAATTGTAAATATGAAAATTATAAAAATATAGATGCAATACATCCTTAAAGAGAAATCTATTTGCAAATTGACCAACGCGTTCGTAGGACGCAAGACAGAGCTCTTATAATATTGTCCAAGAACTTTGATGTATATATATCCCGTATGTGTCATCCACGTGGTATTTACGTTACGTAACGTTCATACACCTGTTGCGAGCGATTCTCGACGTTACATTGCTTTTATTTTGTCGTTACAAGCGGCGCCCAACTAACACGCGCGTATAATAAGCACTCCGCCAATGCCGATCTGGAGCATTTTTAGCGCCGTCGTTAAATCTCGGGAGTATGCGAGTATGCGTCAATCGTCTTGTTCCTGCAACTATGGTTGTAACCGTAGCCAACACGGCGCACCGGCATAAGTTAATCGGTTATAAATGTGCGTGTTTCCTTAATTTAATACGCCATGGATGGTACGAAGCAAATCGATGGGAGGATGTGGGATGGTCAATGGTCAGGTCGTGTGGGTCGAGGGATGAGGACAGCGCGAGGGACTGACCGATGAGTCACAGACTATTCGCGCGACGCTCGGAAAACCATATTTGCATTAGCATATCGCGCTTCTTCTTGTCCTCTCGACTGCTATTAGGCCCCGAGCCCCTTGAGGGCCTCTCGAGGGCCCACTCAATCCAAAACGTGATCTGGCCGCGCCTTTCGTGACATTTCAAGACTCCACCTTTTTTATTTTTTTGCGATGCGAGCTTGTCTTGAGATACGGGATATTTCCCAGGAGGATGTCGGACAATGTCCAAGAGATACGTTTTACCAATCTCCATAGTTCTTTTCCGATTTTGTAAAATATTTGAGTATGTATGTTTTATATTTTTTAAACAATTCTTCTGCTAAAGCAATATGTTTCTATACAGATTTTGAATTGGTTTGTTGTTAATGTAAAATTTATCTGAATTCAACTGAAACGATTTTTTAATAAAGAAATGTATGAAATACATATATAAACTGGAATCATTTTTAGTATATACAATAGAGAGAATCGCGGCAGATATGATCGGGCAAAATTTTGAACGTCTATTTCATGAATTTAAAATTTATAAATTCAATAAAAATCATTTCTAGATTTTTATCTCCTAATTTCGTTCATAATTACGGGCCGTTTATTTGTGGATCCGAGAACGCACGATCGAACGCAATGTCAACAACAATACTCTAAGAATAATTGGAAACCTGTGAGAAATAAAATTTGTCGCGAGAAATGTATGAAAGTTACATAATAAGAACTTTACTTGACCGATTATTGGTATCGTGTATATGCGCGACACAATTCCAAGCTCTCGCGGCCGCTCGTTCGCCAGAAACAAGATCGACGAATGCGACGCACTGGAAAGCGACATTCATTAAAGCGATATTCCTCAATTCGTTCATTTGTACTATCCACGGGGAGATATCTCAGCGATAGATTCACCGAAGAACATTGTACCGCAATAATTCCGAGAGGAACTCCGACGTACGCGCGCGTGCATAATTATATGCGCGGCGCGATGAACGCGCGCGCGTGTGCAACTTGCAACTTGCTTCGTTACGTGCGTGCACGAAATCCTCGTACGTATGAACGAACACGTCCTCTGCGTGCTCTGTCGCAGATTAGAAAACTGATATAGGTATATACCGGGTACTCGCGGACGTGGACTCGCTAAACGGTATTACAACCCGACGGCAATCCGGTGGCACCACGCTGGTCAGGTAGATGCGTGTTCGCTCTTTTTCATCGTCTAATGATTTTAATGTTACTAATCGATTCTGCGGTTTCGCACAAGTGCGCAAATACGCGCGCGACAAGGACAAGTCGTTAATTACAGTTACGCGCCTGGTTTAGATAATCTGCGTCCAAATAATTAATTACTCCTATCAGTCGTGCATTTAGAAGCGTGCCGCGTGGAGGTATTTCAAACGCGTAGAGCTGCGCGAATAATTGCAGATTACGAAACTTCGTTATGACGTGTTTCACGTCTTCTCACTGCGCGATTTAAAGTTAATTCTTTCTCAACGGAGATGTCGACGCAGAAATTATATACGCGAATATTCTTGAATCGAGGGATAAAAATAAATAATAGTACCTTATTTTTTTATTTAACGAAATAAATAATGTATATAAGTGAAACATCGTAGCTATAAATTGAGCAAAAAGTTCCGCAAATATAAAAAAAATAATAATAATAATAAATACGGTATCTTTTGAATATTCTACATGTACGAATATTCAACGAGCATATTCGTGATTCGAGGCAGCTGAGGATAGTTTGCAGATAACAACTCGACCATGATGCGAGCGGAATTGCGATATTTCCGACGCAAACTTTTCGCACAATCTCGCAAGTCGGAGCAAATTCACCGGATGCACCGGGCGAAATAGCGAAAGGATCGCGTGTAACGGTAACGCCGGTACGGAATAACAACATCTTTCCATTTGATACACGCGTACGGTAACGTATCGCTCGCGGTACCGTAAGGCATTAACCGTTCGGCACATTCGCCAGATTAGAGGCCACCGATTGCCGAGCCGTTGCTCGTAGCTATTTGCATATCGCCTCTGCCAAACCCGATATTGTTCGGTTTGCGTAGATACACGTTGAACAGCACTACTGCGGATTAGAACTCGCAAATTGCGCTTCTCTCTCTCTCTCTC